CATTTAACCAAACTTAATATAAAATTGACTCTCATATTTTTTATTATTTAAAAAAATCTTATAGTTTGAAAAGTAAAATAAGAGTCATTGGATGTGAAGACCCTTAATATTAAAAAGCACACCTCTTATTTAATAGTTAAAATTATATAATTCGATATAATTTAAACTATACAATACTTTTATTATAAAAAAAAATATGAAAGTTGAATGTTTTGGATTTAACCATTCTAGATACGACATCTATCCATCAAATTAATATTACATCTCTTTTTAGAAAATAATAATGTTATTAATATGATCTAATTAAAATAGAAAAAATTAATGTCAGTTCCATCCAATTTTTACACATTTTGCGTTGGTCAACAATGTCAAACTAAATCTAACATATAAAACACAAATTTTTAAATAGAAAATGCCTCCTAACAGTGGAGACCAGGGCACCGAATGAGGTCACTGATTGCACAAGTTTTTCCATGAAAAATCTATCCTCTATTTTTTTTTAAAAGAATAATTATATATATATTTTTATAATTTTTTATATTATTTAAATAATTATTTTTTATTTATTTATAATTCAGAATATTAAATACATAACTTATTTAATAATATATAAAAATTATATAAAAAATAAAAAAAAATCATTATATCACCAATTTTTTTTTAAACAGAAGAAAATACATCTTATCTGTTTTTAAACGACCCTGCATCAGCGTAGCCGGTGCCATCTGCATCATCGTGTGTCTTGATAGGCGTGCCATTTTGTTCTCTCCCAACCATACGTAAACGCAAACGCAAACGGAATTTGCCCAACCATTTTGAAAGGGAAGAGAATTCATCTTCGCGTTTCCCATGGATTCAACGACGGCGCAACGTCGACTTAAGGCCATTGGCGACCACCTCATGGCCGCCTCCGATACTCATTCTCAGCTCCGTACCAACCCCACCTCCGGAGAGTTTTTCTCTGGTACGGTAAATCATATCTCTCATCTCTGTCTCTGTAAATATAGTAGATTATTTTATGGGTTTCAATTCTGGATCTTTAATGGCGTAGTATGTTTTTTAGTTGAGATTTTGTTGAAATGAGTAGGAAATATGACCCATGTAGGAAAAGCTGTGAGATTTAACTGATTCAAAGGAGGAATCAAGATACCTTACGGTATTACGTTCCTCAAATTGGAATTAGAGGTCCATAAAAGTGTTACAGTGATTGAAAGGAGGAAGCATCCTGATTTTTTTTTTTTTTTTAAAGCATGATTGTATGGAGAAGTACCCATTACCATAAAAGACAAACAGGAACAAGCACTGGGTATCTTGATGTAAATAAAGACCCCACTCTATCAGGATCTTGTTTTTCAAATGATTATAGTTTGAGAAGTCTGGAGTAATTATGCAATTTACACTTTTTTTTTGGCCTCAAACAATAGGATAATGCAATTTACTGATGGTTTTTTTTTTAATTTTTTTGGTTTGGATTTTATTCCAGTGTCAGTTTTAATTATGATTAGGGGACCTGAAAGGGCATTATGCCTGGAGACTTCTACTTGTTTGGATTGTTGGGTCACTTTTATTAGGATTTAGGATGGCCTACCACTGGTGTTCATTGGTAGATAGTGGCCAGGTTTCAGGGGTCTCAAAAGGTACTTTGAGTAGAATTTGATCCAAGCACATTTTGTTAAAGAAAGAGAATGATATTATAATTGGGAAGAAATGCATGGTAGTGGCAAGTTGGAAAGGTCTAGTCCAACTTTCCTGTATATTAATATTTGTACATATAGTGGGAAGATTTATGTTCTAGCTCAAGTTCTTTAAGATAAATCTGTTTTTAAGAATTTGGATATGAAGGCGAGTGGAAATAGGTTGCTTCAGCTGGAGATGAGAACTGTGTGCCAAAAGATGGATTATGTAAGTGGAGTGGTATTAAACAGGACTGGTTTTTTCTACGCATAAGTGGTTTTAAAGACAGAATATAGTTGAATATACAGGGTTCATTCCAAATTCTATTAAAATTGATAGGATTTGGATTAGCCTTCAACTAATTTCATAATTTAAAGTTTAGAATTGAATTCTGCACTTTTTAGTCAAACCCAATACAATGGATGTAGAATTGCAAATGAATTCTGCAGAATTTTTAATCAACCAAGCACGGGTATGTAATTCAAATCATGGAATTAAAATGAGAACTTTTTAATCAAACCAAAGACAGTGGTGTAGAACTGTTAATGAATTCCGTACTTTTTGTGGAATTCATTTGAACCAAACAAACTTTAAGTAAAATCTAAGTTATGAATTAATTCATTTGGGATCCTCTTATTTTTCAATGTTTCAGCAACCGCCTTTGAATCTGTGAGGCAAAAACAAATTTGAATATTAAAAAATGGGGATGGTTTTCAACATGGTTTGGTGAACACTTAATTTCTCTCATGGCCACTAGATTTGTACTTATGAAGTATGGAACTGTAAAAAATATAATCCTAGGATCCATAGCGCTTAATGAGTAATAAGAATTCCATAGTATCAATGTTTTACTGCTCTTTGAATCCTGCATATATGGTTTTGTGCCCGTCTAGTACTGAAATAGATCTTAGCAGTTGGTGTCTGCTGCTAATTTATCACTATTATTATTATTATTTTTTTAGTTTATCATGCAATGTGCCAAAATGCTTCTTTTATGTAGCATGTGTTAGAGTACTAGTATCATGAACTTTTGAACTGGATATTGAGCAGAGCAGGGTTACAGTGTTGTGCTGCCAGAGAAGTTGCAGACAGGAAAATGGAATGTATACAGGTAGGAACCCCTCACTGTCAAAGGGATTGCTCTACATCTTCTCTTTAGTGTTGTTAATAATTGTTTAAGTTTATGTTTTACGGCAGATCTGCTTGTTCTCCATTGAAGCTTGTGAGTAGATTTCCTGATCATCCTGAAATCAGTACTTTGCATGATAATTTTGAGTAAGAATCATCAGCTCTCCTGGCTTGTTTGTTATCTTAGTTTCCATCTGGCGTGGGCACTATCTTATTGTTAGTCTTAGTCTGATTGTTTAGTTGACCTTTCAACTCCAGGCGTTCGGTTGACACCTTTCGAGATTACAAATATCTTGGTACAAGAATTCGGGTTGATGGAACAGTTGGAGAGTAAGTTTCCTGTTAGTGAAATGCAACTTGCCATTTGTTGTCAAAATTCCCTCATCCATCGTACCTTCTTTTTTAACTTGTCAAGGTACAAGTGGATGACATATGGAGAAGCTGGTACAGCCCGGACAGCTATAGGTTCTGGCTTAATTTTTCATCGAATACCTAAGGTGAGTGTCTGAATAGTAATTATGTTTAATGTTTTGGTCCTTGAACAGACTTTCTCCCTGGAACTAGTTTACACTCATCTGAATATTGTGATGTTTATTCATGGTTCCTAGGTTAAGCCATCACTAAACCTTCTTTTGTACTTGTGCTAGGGCTCTTCTGTGGGATTATATTTCATCAACAGGCCAGAGTGGCTCATTGTTGATCATGCCTGCTCTGCTTATTCTTTTGTATCAGTTCCATTATACGACACTCTTGGTCTGTCACTGGTCAAATATAAAACATTTCAATTAATTCCCTGTCTATCTTTGTCTGGCCATCAGAGGTTGAGTCAAATTCTGTTCTCTGCAGGTCCAGATGCTGTCAAGTATATTGTAAATCATGCTGTTGTGAAAGCTATATTTTGTATGCCTCAAACGCTAAATTCTGTAAGTTCAATCCAAGCTACCTTCATGCTGTAGTAACTGAATACTTTGGAAGTAAATAAACTTGTACATATTACCACTCGCTCTGCAATCATATTTTTGGCAGTATATTAAATCTGGTGGGATCTCTTTAATGGCAATCTCCATATATCCATCCATTTGGCAATGGTTATCTTGAATGCATGCTGATTGTTCGCTATAGAGCTTCTTTTTATCAAGTTTTTATGCTGCAAGATGGAAGTATAGATAATTCTCTTATGAGGGCAGAGCGCTTAAATCAATACTCATATTGTTTAACTGAATAACTGTATATGTACTTCAAGCCTTATTTTCTTTTGCTCTGAATGAGTTACTTGACCCACATAATTTATTTAACTCTTTGCTTGGACATTGCAGTTGCTAAGCTTCTTGTCTGAAATCCCAAGTGTGTCTCTTATTGTGGTATGAACTCTTGACCTTCCCTCTGAATCTTTAAACTAGATAAAAGTGCAAGTGGTATTGGTTTCCCAATTTTTTCCATGCTACTTTAATTTTCTTTTCCTATTGCATAGGTGGTTGGTGGGATAGATGATCTAGTGCCTTCATTGCCATCATCAACTGGAGTTCAGGTCATAACATATTCAAAATTACTAAGTCAGGTATTTATATGTCCTTTCCAATTTTGATCATTATGGCATTAATGAAAACATTTGATCCCTTTTTGTTTGGGAGGGACATGTTTTGTATAACTGGGTCCCCTACAATTGGGTGTTAAGGACTAAATAAAGAGTGAGATTTTATTTCTTATCTCCAGTTTTTGGTGTGCATCTTTTCTGTTGATGCGCTGTGATTCAAAATCTTCAAAATCTTTTTCTCTTTTATATTTGACTTTAATGAATTCTTGAGTAGCTACAATCATGTCTTTTTAAAATGGAATTTGACTTTTGTCTTGCATTGTCAATAATTATGTTATATGTTTTTTTTCTCATAATGAGAAACAAAAGTAATTATTTTATTTCTCATGCAAACCACTTCCTCTAGGGCCGCAGTAATCTCCAGCCTTTTTGCCCGCCAGAGCCAGATGATATTGCAACTATTTGTTACACTAGTGGTACAACAGGGACACCAAAGGTATAACTGTACTGGATGAATTTTAACTTCTGTTTTTTAAGCAATAGCTTCTTCTAAATGTTTTTGGAATCGTAATATTAAGTAAATTTTAATTATTTGTTAACTTTTGATAAACTTTGGGCAGGGAGCTGTCCTGACACATGTTAATTTGATTGCAAATGTTGCTGGGTCCAGTCTAGATACAAAATTTTATCCCACAGATTGGTGGGTGCTCATGCTGTGTCTGTTACATAAAAAATATTAGTTCTTGTTCCCTTTGCATTTCACCCTGTTTATTTTTACTTCCCTGCTTGATTTTTTGAAGTTTTCATTATTTTTGCAGCTACATATCATATCTTCCTTTAGCGCACATATATGAACGTGTAAACCAGATAATGACAGTTTATTGTGGAGTTGCTGTTGGATTCTACCAAGGGGTATGACAGTAAATATTCTGCTACATGTTAAACTTTTGGTTGCGAAAATTCTTTTGAATTTCTCTTGTCCATGTTCTTGCTGAATGTGTTGAAATAATTGATACCGAGGAAACTTGTCATGTACCTCCTCTTTTTTGCATTCAAATAATAGGCTAAATCTGTTGGACTCTAATATATAATTTTCCCTCTCTGTATTATGGTTCTGTGAGTTGGTAACTTTCTTCTGTGGTTAGTGTATTTAAGTAGCAAACAGTCTCTGGTTTTATTGTTATTTAAGAACTAGCTAACTAGACTGACAGGTGTTAGATGAAGTCGTTTTCTAATAAAGATGGTTGTTGTAATGTAAATAAGTAGCCTATCCATACTTTTGAAGTAGCAATCTTACCTTTTAATATCTTCTATCGTGCTTTAAGTATGTGTATGGTTGCTTTCTTCTTGAAATGAAACCTTATTTACTGTTTCTTGACCTCTTTTGTAGGATAATATGAAATTGATGGACGATATGGCTGCTCTACGTCCTACTATTTTTTGCAGTGTACCTCGACTGTATAACAGAATTTATGCAGGGTACTGCACAAATTATTTTATTTGATTGCAACTAATATTTTCATTTAATTATTGGGTAAAGCTCTCCTTTTGTGCAGTATTACAAATGCTGTAAAGACGTCTGGTGCACTAAGGGAGAGACTTTTTAATGCTGCCTATAATTCTAAGAAGCAAGCATTAATGAATGGTAAATTACATCACCAAAGCTTCAAGTTTTCCTTTCTCTCACTAGACAGTTACTGAATCATCTCTTTCCCTTTTATACAATGCTACTATTAACCATTTAGCTAAGTTCCAGTCTCTTAATTATAAAAATGTAATAGTTTGAGTGTACAAGGAGAAGATTGATTCTCCACTGAAGATGGAAACAGAATGGATAGGGAAACACTTAAGATGGAAGCATAAATCAGGTCCATTTTATCCTTAAGAAACTGGAGACAGGCTTATGGTTGTTAACTATCCTTAAATTTAAATTACTATCTCACGTTGAAAGAACTTTGCTTGGCCTTGGAGGCATCTTAGATATGAAGCTTCTGGAGTTTTGCTTTTGCAGGAGTTGTATTTTGTTTTGCATCATAGGGAATAATACTACATGCATGTTCTGTTTAAATGTATTTCCTTTTGAGGCAAACTGCAAAATTGATGCTTCCTGGTTGTGTTAATTTTAAGGCAAGAATCCATCTCCCATATGGGACAGATTGGTTTTCAATAAGATAAAGGGAAAGCTTGGAGGACGTGTCCGCTTTATGGGCTCAGGAGCTTCACCCTTGTCTCCTGATGTCATGGACTTTTTGAAGATGTAAGTTGGTTGATTTTAGCATATTGAATGCCCACAAAAAGTTATATGTATCCCCCTTTCTCTCATCTCTTACAAATTTTGTATAATGTGATTGATCGGCAGCTGCTTTGGTGGGCGAGTAGTTGAAGGTTATGGAATGACTGAGACTTCCTGTGTTATAAGCTGCATTGATGAGAGTGACAATCTCTCAGGACATGTTGGTTCTCCTAATCCTGCTTGTGGTGAGTCATGGAATGTGTATGAAATCTAACATGAAGAATAAAAGAATGTGGGCTATTTGGATTTAGTCTCCTAATGGTGTCTTCTTACATGCATTGGTGTAACTTATAATTATCTTTCCTTATTCAGAAGTAAAACTGGTGGATGTCCCAGAAATGAACTACACATCTGAGGATAAGCCTTATCCTCGTGGCGAAATCTGTGTCAGAGGTCCAATTGTGTTTCAAGGCTATTATAAAGATGAAGTGCAGACGTATGCTCCTCAAATGCAATTCCTTTTCATTCTCTCATCTTGTAGATATTGTATGTCTGATAAATACAAATAAACTGAACAGGAGAGAAGTAATTGATGAAGATGGATGGCTTCATACTGGAGATATAGGGTTGTGGTTACCCAGGGGTCGTCTGAAGATCATTGACAGGTAGGAATAGACTGCAGACCAACCCAAATGATAGTCTTGTTGGATTCATGTTTATATCTTTGGTTCAAATATTAAGATATACAACTGTTGTTGCTGTGATTACATACCTGTTAGTTTTGTGTTTTTGCCCTGTATGCAAATAGCCCAAGGCACATGATATAACCATGTACTGCAGTATCCCCTTATCAAGAGTTTTGTTGATACAGGAAGAAGAATATCTTTAAGCTGGCTCAGGGAGAGTACATAGCACCGGAAAAGATTGAAAATGTGTATGTGAAGTGCAAATTTATTGCCCAATGCTTTATTTATGGTAAGATGATTTGGTTTCTAGTGTTTACTCTAAGGCCTCCAGCTCTGGTTGCTGCTGACACATTAGGTTTTTTTTTTTTGAACAATCTGCTGACACTTTAGGTGTTCTCTTTGCTAGGTGACAGCCTGAATTCTTCTTTGGTGGCTGTCGTCTCAGTGGACCCAGATGTTTTGAAAGAATGGGCTGCATCTGAAGGCATTAAGGTTTTTTTCTTTTGATAAATGAGTGTGAAAATATTTGCTAAATCCATATCTTCTCATGTTGAATTGGGTGCTTTCCACCTTGCTTTCTCCTTTTCTTTTTTTTTTTTTTGGGGGGGGGGGTTGTGGGATGGGGGGAACATTCTTGTGTGTTGTAGCAGAAGCTCAACTCCCTTTTAACCATTTGTTGATTTTAATCTGTCAATGTTTGAATATGGTACCAGGATTTGGGGCAACTATGCCGTGACCCAAGAGCCAGGGCTGCAGTACTAGCTGACATGGATGCTGTTGGAAGAGAAGCTCAGGCAAACCATCTGTGAAATTATTCTTTTTACACAATGAACTATGTTACTTTCATCTTTTGGTTGCATGTTTAACCACTGATGGATCAAATTTTGTTCCAGCTGAGAGGCTTTGAATTTGCAAAAGCTGTGACTTTGGTGCTCGAACCATTTACAATGGAAAACGGTCTGCTCACTCCTACATTTAAGGCAAGTCTTCCATCACACAAACCCAAGAACTAAGTGGAAAATGCAGATTAAAAATCAACATGATGGGTCCTGAATCTCCTAATTGTTTTTGTGTGTATCCAGATTAAGAGACCCCAAGCAAGGGAATACTTTGCAAAGGAGATTGCAGACATGTATGCTGAGCTCTCGATATCCGATCCTACTCCTCAGAAGGCATTGTAAGGTTAATTCAATAGGAAAACATAGAATCCATGGCAGAGCGCAAGGATACAGTGCTGCTTCTTAATAAGGCAAGATTAAAGCACCAGGTTATTGGGATTTTCAACCACATACAAATAAGCTAAATGTGTTTTCTTCTCCAGAGAAAATAAATAAACAGAAAGAAAAATGATGGGGAAAGGGAGGAATGTCATCACCACTGGATTTTCGTAGAAAGCAAAGCCTGCTGTTCATTGTTTGCAATGATAGCTAGATGAATAGGGTGATACTTAAATGGAAGTGATCAGAAGGTTTAATTTGCTTTAATAAAATGGAAATTGTAATTCATATTATTTAATACCCTTTTTTTTTAATTAAAAATCTATTACAAGATTCTTGAATTTCAAAGTTTCAAAGCTGTCCATTTGACCAAAATAATATCCTAAAATTTAAGGAAGCATGGAAAATGCAGATTTGGATCAGTGTTTCTTGTTTGTTCCCTTGTAGATACTCAAGTCCTCAC